AAAAAAAAAAGTTATAAAGCAATCACTTTCTTTGTAGCAGACCTTTTGGTAATAGTTTACAGTAAGTTTTCTTATGAACATTACAGTAAATTTAGAGTGTTTACAAACTAATTGTCACAGACACCCTTGGGTACTCATCTTCTACCCATTTTCCCTTCATAGGTTTGTGTGTCTCTTTCTTTGTGTAACTGGGGAGTGAACCCTGACTAGCTTGAGATGATCCAGGTGATTCCATTTCTCCCTCCTGATTGAAGGATTTCAGTTTGGTGCCAAGTTTTGGCCACAAGAAGAAAAGGGTACACTGCTGGATATTTTCTGGGAAAGCTTCTCCTTTTTAAAAAGGGAGACACAGGAAGATGTGGTCTTACTTTATATTGTTATGCCACAAATCAAAGGAAAAGACCAAAATCCAATAGAAAGATGAACAACTTGTTCATGGAAAAGGAAATATAAATAGCTCGTGCAATGTGAAAAGATGCTCAATTTTACTCCTAGTAAGGGAAATGCAAATTCAAATTACACTAAGGTACTATTTTCTACCTATCAGACTAAGGTAAAAATGTTTATTAACACATCACAGCAAGAATGGGGGAGAATGGAGATTCTCACATATAGTTTGCTGATGGGAGTGTAAATTGGTGGATCTTTGAGGGAGGGAAACAGTAATTTCTGCTTCCAACATTATTTATTTAGACTGAGTTTTTTTTTTTTTTAGTACTATTATTCCATAGGACTATGATGATGTTAGTACTATTCATGGTTTCTTTTTTAAATTAAATTATTTTTGTTATTGCGGTAACGGTGGGCAGGCCAGGCTGGCAAGGGCTTTGAATGTCAGAAACTTTGGAGTTTATCCTGGTGGCAATAGAGAGCCGAGGTCTTTCGGCACACGAAAGGCAAGAAGGCAAGCAAGGCGTTCCAGGCTGGTCAACTTCATTCCCAGGTCCAGAGCAATTCTTTAAAGGTTGTTGCTGACCAGGTCTCCTAGCTCTTTCAACCTCTCTTCATGATCCCTTGCTGGGGAGACCCGACCTATGATGGGTGTGTGTGTGTGTGTGTGTGTGTGTGTGTGTGTGTGTGTAAGCGCTTATACTTAGGTGAGCATGGCTTCTCAGGCACACACCTTCTGCCTCTGGACCGGGCATCATGGATAACTTCCTCCTGCACGCTTTCTGCCCAAATCCTTATCTGTCTCCCCCTTCGATCCTCCTCCCAGCAAAATAATCATTTGCACCCCCAGCCCTCCACCCGGCCGCAGGGCCACACCTTCTTGGCCCCAAACTGCGAGGCGCGCTGGGGGCCGAGAGCTGGTCTAGGCGCGGTTGGCTGGAGTCGGCGGGCGATTGCCGTCCCCCACCCGCACCTCCAGCCAGGCCCCCGCGGGGCGGGGCCTGGGGCCCAGTTACTTATTGCGGCCACTCTTCTTACCCCTCAGAAGCAGCAAAACGTCTTTGGGCAAGATGGTTGTCTACCGCATCCGCGTGTCCACAGGCTGCTCGCTCTACGCGGGCTCCAACAACCAGGTGACGCTGTGGCTGGTCGGCCAGCACGGGGAGGCGAAGCTGAGGACGTGCCTGCGGCCCTCGCGGGGCAAGGTGAGCTGGCCGGTCCGGAGGTGGGCTGCGCCCTGCGTCCCGAGGCGGACAAGTATTGCCGAGAGGCGCGAGGAGCGCTCCTGGGCCGCGGGGTAAAGCGCCCCTGGGCGATGCTGACGCGGGCTAGCGCTCAGCTAGAGACGCGCCGCGCCGCCTCGGTGGGTCTGAGAAGACACCGTTGCCGCCGCGGCGCCACAGGCGCAGGGGCTCTCTCTCTCTCTCTCTCTCTCTCTCTCTCGCTCTCTTTTTCTTTTTTGAAGGGCAGAGGCTCCCCAGAGCGGTCGCTTGTCTCTTGCTTTCTTATATTGTTTAAAGCTGTTATTTCAAACCTTCCTAATGCTGCTGCATCTCTGACCCTGCGGTCTTAATTATCTGGGGAGGAGTGGGCTGGGGGAACCGCGGGAAGGGCCGGGGGAGTGGGTGGGTGAGTGCGGGAAGGAGGGGAAGAAGCCAAGGAAAGCGAAACTTGAATTTCCCTATCCTTTTCCCCTTTCCCATCACATCTCCTAGGTGTTGGCTCCTGGTTCTTGTTACCTTTTCTCTCCTCCCACCGCAAATTCTCACCGCCTGTCTAGCTCTCTCCAAGGTCCCCAAATCCGATGTCTGTCCCATGGAAGTTTCAAAGGGTCGTGGCCAAGTGAAGACCGTTTCTTTTCCCTCCCTGACCTCTCTTCGGTTTCTCCCACCTGTCACACTTGGCTCCGGCTCTCTGTCTGAACAAGATTTGAGCGCTGTCAATACTATCTCGTGGACATCTCTGGCATCCCTGACCTGACGTCCACCCTAGCGCCCAACCACCAACGAACGCCTCCTGC